GACCGTGGCCTCATTTGGAAACCGGGTCTCTGCAGACGTGATCAGGTCAAGGTGAGGCCAGACCTGCTCAGGGTGGGCCCTGATCCAGCGAGCAGTGGACCGAGGTGGAGAATTTGAAGACACGGAGAGACAGGAGGAGGCCACAGAAAGGTGCAGACGGGGCTGGGCGTGGAGTATGTCCAAGCCAAGGACGGCCGGCAGCCGGCGGAGCCGGGAGAGGCCTGGGCCGATGCTCCCCGAGCGCCCTCGCGAGGGAGCGACCTGCCGGCACCTGGGTTTGGACTTTGGCCTCCAGACCATGAGAGGACACACTTCTGTGGTCTTAAGTGGCCAGGTTTGTGGCCCTTTGTTGTAAGAGCCCTAAGACACTAACACAGCACCAACTAGAAGGCACGACGGTCTAGACGGGAGGGGGGCTGCGCCCTCAGAGCAGCTCCGTCTTGGCGGTGCCCCACCCACCTGCCCTGCGGCCCCGGGGAAGGACCGGCGTCTCCAGCAAACCCCGCCAGCCCCCCAGGGAAGACGCGTTACTCACCGGGGGGCCCTTCGGTCCAGGGAACCCTGTGGGTCCTTGGGGTCCGTTGGGTCCCTGGGGACAGAGAACGGCCGGTATGAGGTCAGACGTCTCCTCCCCAGCATGTGGGGCCCAGCAGCTCCCCCTGGCCCCTGCTGGCTCTCTGAGCACGGACACAATTTCTTTCTGCTCCCCGTGAATTTTCCCTGTTTTTTCCAGCCCCTGCCCTCCCCGATGTGAAAGGAGGTCCAATCAGGGGGTCCCGGGGGCAGCATGGAACCCGGGACCGGTTTCCTGACATCTTAGCCACCGCCCAAACCCCAAGCCCAGCGCCGCGCGGACGGGGTCCACGTCTCCAGCCAGCAGAAGCCTTCACCCCCGGGAAGGCCACCTCCGACCCACCCTTCGATTTTAGGAACCCCTCCTCCAGCAGGGTCAAAGGCCGCCTCCTGACCCTACCGCCCACCCCCGGAAGAAGCGCTGAGGGCATGCTTAGCGCAGGCCACTCTCCCGGCGATGTCCACGCCTGCCGGGCTCCGTGCTTACCCGTTCGCCCGGAGGGCCGGCCGGGCCATCACCTCCAGAGTTGCCCTGGGAAGAGCAAGCAAAGCTCACATTGTTATTTTTGTTATCACTGCTTTCGGTGAGCAGACTCTGGCCTGTGCTGTCACTGGAATCTCGGGTCACATCTGGCGTGTGGGCGCCCTGCAGGTCACCCCACCCGATTCTCAGTGAAGAGCAGAGCGCTGGGGGCTGCTCTGTGGTCCCAAAGGCCACCTGTCCCCTCGCCTGAGCTGGTGTCACCAGGGCTGTGACATTTCCAAGAGGAGAACATGGCCATGCTGTGGCGCAAAGGCCGTGCTCCAACCAGGAACTGCAACCAAGACTCCTGAGAAGACAGGACCCCGGCCCCCAGCCCAGGCCCCCCCCGACACGGGACACTGTGAGCTCACAGCTGAGCCCGACGTCCCCCTCGGGAGCGTGACTGTGCCCCAGAGCGAATCACGGAAGGGTGTGCCGAGCCCCGGGGCAGTAGGCCTGTGGGCTCGGCACCTCGGCCAGCCAGCCAGCGGGCCCACCTTCCGGCCGGAATGCACTTTGGAATCACGCCCGGGACAGGAGAGGCTGGGCCGGGCTAGGACGTGCCCGCCTGGCCGAGGTCCCCTTCCTGACAACCGGGTGAGTTGGTGTCGAGGCCCCTGGAGGGGGGTGTGGGAGGCAGGCCCAGGCTCTCAGAAGGGCAGAAAGAGCTTTCTTTGGATTTCTGGCAAAGGCGTCTCGGCAGCTTCTGAGCCCCTTTCCAAGGAAAGCAGTGAGGCCTCCCTGCGAGAAGCCCGGCGGGGCCCGGCCTCCTCCAGCCACAGGCTCCGGCCCCGGCGTTCCACCGCGGGTGGCCCCGTGCAGCCCCTGCCTGGCGGTGAGGCCACGGCCCCGATGCAACCTGACCTAACTCTTCCAGGGGCTGTTCGAAGGGACCAGCTCCCTCT